ATCTCAGTGTCATCCAACGGACGGTTGTACAGAAAGACGTTCGCCACCGTCGCATGAATTTTTCCGCTGCTCAACAGCTCATTGTACGCGCCAAAGTAAAAGTGCGAGATCTCGTCCAGCTCTTCATCAGAAGGACGAGGCAGGGCCAAATTCAACAGGGATTTCCCGTCAACGTACACGGAACCCACACCGTTATGCATTTTGAGCACCACGTGATACGTCTTGTCCAGCTCCCATTTGGTTAAATACCTTTGGTACCACCCGTGCTCCACGCTCCACTCCATATTCTTATCGTACGACAGTCCCAGGAGTGTTGTCGTCCCCATTCTTTTCAGGCCCATCAGGGGAGTGATGCCCTTCGGCACCTCGTGAATCGACACCGTTGCCGCAAGAGTGAACCCATAGTTTGCAAAGTAGAGCGGTATGTTCGGCCACTGCTTGCCCACAGGCCACTCGGCCCCTGCGTCATGCCCTTCGAACGTCCACCCATTGGGAACCTTTTTCGTCGCACCCCTCACAACGGCATTCACCCCAAGGTACTCGTCTTCCCAGTTGTCCCCGCTGAACCTATCGGCCAAATGGCCCACAAGCCCAGTCGTGGGGATAGGAACAGAACAGTCCCCTCTTGACAGCGCGGCGTCTGAGGCAATTGAGCTGCATCGTCTCAAGGCAATGTCATTTGCGGCCCAGGTAGACAGCGCATGCCTTATCTTCTGCAGCTCGGACGTCAGATCCAGGAAGAAGGCTCCAGAGTTGCTTCCAACACCGGCCTCGTACAAACAATACAGCTTATTATTCGCGTACAACAGGGAGCTGGAGGTCGCGCTATTCCCAGTGGGTAGCAGGCCAACGTGGTAAATGCGGTTCGTGTCTGTTAGCCACAGGTGAATCTCGCCCTTGCTCTCGTATCTGGAATATTCCAGCTGGGTGAGGAGGATCACCTTCATTCCATCAATGGTTGCAGTGATGAATCCACTCTGAATGTGGGGCCCAAGAACTGGCAATGAGTTGCTCCACACGCGCGAGAGCGTCCCCAGAGCCTCCTTCCACGTGTTCCCCTTGTCAGTCGACTCGTACACCCTTCGGCGACCGTAATCACATGAGGTGATCATGATGATTTTCCCAGCCTCCCATTCAAGGATACTGGGGTTGGTGCAGCCCGCATGTGTCGCGCTGTTCGCAAAGGTCCAGTGCGGTTGAACAGAATTCGAGTACATGACTGTGGACGCGGTTTTCCCTCCAAATTCCAGAAACTGCACGGGAAACACGAGCGTGCCATCCGTCATTCTCGTTATGGGAGTACTGGCATCGTTGAGGAAGCCAATCAATTCGTCGGATTCATAGGGATAGGGAGGGCGAATGCTCATAGAGACGGAACTCATCGAAAAACCTCCGCTTAGTCCAGGCCCCGACTCCAGAAAATGGATAACAGACTCCAACCCACTTCCCCCCCACCCATCGGTAAACCGAATCATGGCATCGTTCCGTAAGTCGTAGCCCTCCACAAAAGCAAAAAGCGGTTCGAAGGGTCCAAAAGACGACGGAAACGGCAACCAGTAAGGGCTTGCAGCAAAAGCGTCACGATCTTCTGGTCCCGCGTACGACTGCCACGTCACCCCATCATCAACGCTGATCTGTGCCATCAACTGCATGGACGCACTCCCGCTCCCCGCAGATCCATTGAACTGAGCTCCAACAATGGCCAGGAGCATCCAGCCCAAATTCACAAGATGGGGATTGCGGAAAATGTGGCCAGCGGCCGCTGTGTTTGCGACTGGATACTCCCTTGGCGACCGCTTCAAAATGTGTCTTCCATAGGAATCGCCCACTCTCGTTCCATAGTTTTGGGCCTGCACTGACCCAGCGGCGCCGCACATCATCACGAAAAGGAGGAGCAGCAGCACCGCGGAAGCAAACACACGCCGGGACATGTTGGGCCTCTGCGGCTCACTCTCTCTTCCTTCCCTCCTCCTTCCGCTGGATCCGGTCACGCGGCGACGGTTGTGTGTGCGGGGTGCCTTCACCGCAGCAACACGTGAGAGCATATAAATGTGTGTGTGTGTTGTTGGTCCTTTCAGAGCCTTCGAATTTCACAGTAGCGTTTAGCGCTTTTTTTCTTCTTGGAGAAGAGCAACAGGCAACAGCGGCAGAAAGAAAACAAAACAGCAGTACACACCGCCACCACTCAAAGCAAAAAACAAAATCACCATCCCCGCAGCCATTACTCCCCAGTACCCCCATCAACAGTATACAAAAATTAAGAAAAACAAGTGAGCAGCCTCCCAATGGGGACCGCAGCCATGGCGGTGCAAAAAAGACAAATGACAGGGGGCCACGTGTGCAGTGAGGAAAACGAGAGTTGCACTGCAACGACATGGCGGCGTGACAACCCGTTGGGAGCATCGATGCAGAAAAGCACGTCACGTGCAGAAAGAGTTGCTTCTCCCGCTGAGCAGAGAGGAAAAACGGCCTCAGCAGCCTAATGATGAGAGGTCGCCTGCACCTCCTCGCAGCACCTACAAGCACTGCAGGCAAAAAGATGTAGATGACGCTCTGCTGCACGCATGACGGCCGTCGCACCCGTCGTAATGGCAATCGCATCCTGTGGCACCACACGCCGCAGTCGGTGCGCACGGTCTCCGTCTCACTCCCTCCTTTCCCTCTCCCTGAGAGCTCATCGGTGGCCGTGACACACACACCGACATGTCAGAAAGCACTTGTTTTTCTTCTTCCCTCGCACATCGCACAGCAGCACCGCCAACCTCATTTTATCTCCCTTTATTTTACGTATCCTCTTCCGTCAACTCTTCCGATACTGTCGTCCGCCCACCTCCGTTCATGTCGTCTCCCCTTCGGGTGCTCGCACCACACTCACGGTCCTCTTGATTGTTATCGTCTGGCCGCATTAATTTCCCATCAGCACCATTGGGAATGAATCCTCGCAAGAATGAAAATTGTTGTCGCAGAGCGTTGTCGCCCTCCTAATCAAAGGGAAACAACAACGGATAAGCGCCCACAAAGCATGGCAGTCTTTCCCTACGAATGTGTGCACCCAAGCGCATTTCATCCGTTTCCCCTCGGCAGTCATCCATGCCCACAGCACCGCGAAGGCACGTTTTCACCCGTGATCCCGGAAAAAAATGCCGTTTCACTCACCACCATCACATCCACACGGGTGCGCAGTTGCCGCTCGCACGTACCTCCTTCCACATAAACAAAGCCAATCCACAAACGATAAAATAAAAAAGCAGCGCGATGCGTTGACAGATTCCTTCCGTTCCGTCTGTTTCGTGATGAAGCCCCGCCTCCTTGCTTATGTATTTCTGTCTTCTCTTTTTGTCACCCACATAAATAAAATGCTCAAACAAAGTCCTGAAACCCCCTTTTATGTGTCACCGACACCTGCTCTGCGCCCTTGTGTCGCTTCAATAAAAGACCGTCATTCACAAATGCACCCCGATGTTCAAAAGGAATACCCGCACCCCGATAATCCTTCAACAGGGTATTAAGAGCCAGCTCAGAAACATGCACCACCAATACAGTCATAAAGCCCGTAATGAAAAGGCCACTCCAGCATGGACCTTTTTTTAAAGTCTTCATAGAAAACGGCCATGTACGAATTGAACTTGTCCAAACAAAACATTCCTCTGTGTCAAATCCATTTTCGTCATGAATCCTTCATGAAACCCCGCCGCACTGGTTAAACTTTCATCACTCGATCGGCCACGGCAAGCAAGAACGGAAACAGCCACATAAGGACAATCATCTGTTAAGGCATGCCTTTGGCGTTGTAGGCGGCTAATCACGCAGAAACAGTACCCATCCACAAGAAAACAGCATACACTGCGGCTCCTGCACTCTCTAATAAACGCCTCATGAAATAAAAATTTGTGTCACGATTTCAGAGCACTGAAGTAAAAAAAAAAAAAATGAATTGAAGGCAACAGTCGAGCACAAGTTCTACCGAGTCTTTCTCCGCAGGGAGAAAGGGCACCAAGCACACTGCGCTCGACATTCACTCACAATAACACACCAATAAATAAAGCAAGGGGAGTGTGGAAATGGATTTATTCCATTCAGCAGCCCCAGCGGATGATAAAATACAAAAGGGGCCCAACGTAACGATGGTTCCTATCATGGCACCACACAACGTCGTGCTTCCATTTCAGGATGGGAATTAAGGAGTTAGCTGCAAGTACAGAAACCGTCTTCTCCACCCAGCACAGGACGCTGAGAAACTAGCCAACAGACCCAGAAAGAACAACATGCAGCAAATCGCTCCCAATATTCCGGTAATCCCTTCTCACGCCGAGTTATCGTCGCGGCCGACAAGTCCAGTTTGCGCGGTCCGCCTTTGTGAATTCACAAGCGCCATCATGATGAACAACCCACAAACATACCAAGGCAATCCATACGTGATGTCCTCAAACACCCTTGCAAAACCTTCCAACACCTTCTGCCCCGTGATGCAGATCGTTTCTGGAAGTAAAACCATTCGTGGTAAAGAAGCGCATCCCTCTTCAAAGGCACATCGCCCATCACCCGCGATGCTTGCGCCTCCAACGCCCTCCGCCCATTCGCCGAGAAGAAGAAATGATCACGAGCAACAGTAGTAATAGTGTGCATCCCACACAGGTTAGCGTATCTATCATACACTTTCATACATTCAATGGCACTCTTGTCCGTTCATTCACTGCATCTTGAAAACAAACAAACCATGTAAAAAGTAAAATCTCTCAAACATTTAACAATAAATTCCCAAAGTTTCAAAAAAAAGAGCATCTCGGAAAAAAAAAAAAAGAGGCATCGCGTTTCAATGTAATACTGAAAGCAAGCAATGGAAAAAGTATGCGTTTGTTTTTATTTGTGCAGGAGAGAGTGTGGCAACCAAAAAAAAAAAATTATCAAAATAAAAGCAATACTTCAATGGCAATAACAAAAAGACAATTACATAAATGTTCTTATATGTATAAAACACGAAACATGTCTGTATCAGAGCTTTACTTATTGAGCCCTCTCACAAAATTCTTGAGGCCACTTCGCAAGGAATTTGCAGCCTTTTGAACGAGGCCTGAAGAATCCCCACCGGCTCCCTGAAAAGGGTAAGCGTATGGAAAAAGCGTCACGGCGCAGTTTTGCACCCTTAGTATTTCTCTCTCCCGAAGAAACCTTTGAACACTGGTTGCGTCAAAACGGTCATGGTCAAACTCAATGACGGCAATTCGTTCATTGTCCTGAATGACATTTCCTTCCTCCTCTGTCATGGGAGGCGGCTGCTCAAAAGTCACTTGACTCACTGCAGTTACAAATTCCTTGTGGGATGCAACCTCGTCCTCCGCCAGAGATATGCAAAAGCCCAATGCAAAACTTGAATGACGTGAAAGTTGATCAGACGGCAGTGTCAGTGAAAAAATCTCTTCCAATGCCCGTTGCACTGCCCCCGCCAAATCGGCAGTAGAGACAGATAGAGGAACACCCAACGCCACCAGTGCACAACTCCAATACTGGAGTGGTACAGGACGCGTAAGAAAGGCCTGGTTCATCGAAGGAAAGTGTATATCTTTGTTTCTCCCTAATAACAGCTCAAGGTTCCTAAATTTGCTTCGATCTTCAAACACATTTTCAAAACGTCGCTGGGTTGCTATCACCATGTTAGACGCCGTGGACCGTAAACCACAAATGTTTCGCAACAGATTGCTGTGCATTGCAGCGGAACTTGTATACAACTGTGCGACAATATCTCCATTGTACACATATAGTTCAGATAAGGCTCGGCCAACCGCTACAGGAGATAATGACGGATTACGGGCCTCAAACCAGCTTTTTACAAACGGTGGAGAAATTGTCTTCTTGTTTCCTCCCATGGAAAGGGAAGAAAGTCCGCTCTGACTGAGGTCCTCCTGTCCCTCTAGTGGGGGCAAAGGCCTTTGATCCACGAATTGACTAAATTCGATTCCAATCGAATTTAGCATCGATATGGACGCCTGAAAGCATGTGAAAAAGCATCCAAGGTTTGTCCTGTCTAATGAATCCGCGCAATTCACACGCAAGAAACGTCGTTGACAGTTCCTCCGCGTGATACGTCCATCCCGCCGCAACAGGCCCACTGTGGCAACAGCATCGTCCTTTTGTGGAGCCAAAAACTCAAAGGCCGATTCCCAAAAAATCTTGGTGGCCACATCAACGCCATAATCCTTGACTAGATTCAGCCAATCAATGTGCACAAGGTCAAGTTTGGCATCGTTAAAAAGTCGCCGTAGCAGGGCATCGGATTTCCTTACTGCATCCAAAAAGTATCGGGCCAAAACACCCTCGCCACTCTGAGGGTTCTGCCGAAGCAAACTCATACAACGTACCTCAGGAGCTAGAGCAGCAGGAGCATCCGAAGAAGCAGTCCCCGTGTCGTACTTTATAAGAGATACTAACTGACGAAAGAGAAATTCAAAATATACATCGCACCCTCGCACGACCTCTTCTTCGTTTTGGCTAAATATCATTGAGGGCTCCACCATGGTGCGATGAATTTGTGTCGACCAATGCACAGGGATTGTCCCTCGGAGTATTGTGTGGCGCGCAAAGGAGATAGAGTCATCCTCTCTATTCGGCCTCCACATAATATATTCATAAAAATGATCGTTTCCCGCGGCGTTATTTCCATTCAGACCCCGACCCAGGTACCGCGGCCCGGGGTTTAGATTGTTCTGACGACCCAAAAGCAGCATGTGAAGCACAGATCCATTTTTTAGTTGCACAACCTTTTCTTCCGCAAAGCCCCGAATAAGAACGGAGCAGCCTGCAGAAAGGCCATGAAGACAAAACGGTTGCCGCAGTTGCTCCGACCAGTCGCAGTGAAACGCGGGCGCCTCACCGGCAGAATTTGGTAAAAAGGGAAATGGGTAAATAAGGTCGCAGTCGTCAGAGTAAAAATACCCCCTCTCATACGAGTACTGCTGAAATTCTTTCAACCGGCTCCTATCAGTCGTCGAGAGACGTAGCGGTACTGACCCTGGGATAAATAGGGGAATCCATTCCGTCCCTAAAACACGATGAATGACGCCACCAAATGGCAAAAGGGCAATCAGCTCCACCCTTGTCGCAACCAAAAGGTAGATTGTGTCCAGAAGAATGCAACCAAACATAGCCGGGTACTCTGCAAGAGATTCAAAAGGACCGCAAAAATCGTACGCCTCTCTAAAACTTGAAAATTCACCCTTGCCAAAGCCTCGGCACCGCTCCATCTCCCCGTTGCCATTAACGACCAACGGTACCACGACCCAGCCGCCCTCCCATTTGTTCGTCCCATTTGCCACAATTTTCTTCATGCAAGGCGTTTCTGATGGAGAAGTGTCTTCAAAAAACATCAGTGGCTCTAATTCAATTGGAGCGGGTGGATCGACGGGCTTTGGAATAGACAAGAACAAAATCTGGTGGCCATTTTTTACGCACACTGCGCAGCGTTTGCGAGGAGTTTTGACGGCCTGCATAAAGACCTTCCGGTCGTGGCACCGCACTCATTTAAATAAATGATTTTAAGAAAATTTAAAAAATGCAGACAGAAGACACAAAATTCAAGACTGCGAGAGATGGGCTTGACAAGGGAGAAGGGTAACAAAAAAAAAAAAAAAAACGTAGTCTGTCCAATCAAAAAAAAAAAGAATTACACATATAAGAATTCATGAGGCGGAGTAGCTGCCATTCCCGTTACTCCTATTACATATAAACAGCCTCTCATGCTCACCGTTGCAGTTGCATAAGAGCCTGGAGTTTCCTACCCATGATGGCCCACGTGGCCAACCTCCTTGTCCATACTATCCAACCATGGTTTAATTGGCGTAGATTGAACAATTTCTTCATAGACGCGGTGTCCTCTAACAGATTGAAGAACGCCGTAAGTGTCCAAATCCGCAAGATCTGGTTTTGAGCCACCGTGAAACTTTTTCTTCCCACCCAAAAGGGCTTTTTCAATAAAGGTGTTTATCTCACCATGAAGTCTTCCTTTTACATCTTCCCCCTCGTGTAGATGACCGCTTTTAAGGAGTCGGGGCCTAGTGATGTATTGAGATACGAGGTACATCACAGGTGCACCCACTATCTTTAGGAACAACTTGTTCGCATACGGGATCGTGTCAATGTTATTTATGTAGGAATAACCGCACCACGCCCTGTAAAGAGAAGAGTTAAATTCCAGAGTCAAAAGGCGTACCATCGGTCCGCGGGCCCACTCACGCCACTTCACAACTTCCGGATCCTTCAGCTGCTTCTCCATACCCACATGCTTTGCAAGAGTACTGACGATAATTTCCGAGTCCACGACAAGTGGGCCATTGTATCCGTGTACATTGAACTGCAACTGTGGTACTTTTTTGTATGCAAATGAAGAAATCTCCTTTTTAAACATTGGCTCCACCTCAACACATTCGTGTGGAATTTTGGCGTAGTCCAGCAGGGCCTTCGCCGTCCCACAAAAGGGGCAAGTGGAATATCGATAGAGAAGAATCTGCGGGTGCTCCTTCGGATTCCTCAAGTGTGAAAGAGCCCAAGACAGTTCTTCCTGGTTTTGTGCCGCGTTGAACTCTTCAGCCGTGCAGCTGCGGTTTTCCTTCAGTCGTCGCTGATACGTAAAGTAGCCGCCGCCAATCGCCAGTGAGCCGATCAGACCTGTCGCCCCAAGCAACTTTCGGCCAATTGATCCCTTACCCAAAACCATGTGAAATTTTTCGACTGAAATGCGGATAAAATAAGAGAAAAAAAAAAAAAACGTTCAATGAGGCGGAAATGAGGCCCCGCATGGAAGACGCACAGTGCCGTGAGAAAATCAACCCCGTTAGTTTATAAACAACGCAATGGGAAAAAAAAAAATCACGATAAAGGGCGCAAAAGCCAAAAATAAAAATAAAAAATAATAATAATAAAAAGACATCGAATGCACAAAAATCCCACCCAACATCCAACTGTTTTGCCTGCGAATGGGCAGCCTCTCTGGGCCTCCTCTAACTCTCCAGACCCACCGCGCCGCGGGGTTGATGTGATTGCCAAAATGAAAAAACCTGCTATTTGCCCAACACCCCACATCAAGCCCGATCCATAATACACCAGAGCAAATCAAAAATAAAAAAGTAGCGTTGAAATACTCCAGTTGGAGAGTAGAGAATCGGCAAGACCTCGTCCTTGACCAAATCCATTCGAAAAGCTTATTAAAAAAAAAAAAAAAAAAGAAACGAGAGGGGACCAAACTGGCTGAAAAAAAATCAGGCGGCGTTTTCTGCGACTTGCTCACCGTCGCAACCCGCTGCCAATTCCAGCAGGCGTAAAGCCACCAACTCCTCAATTTCTTCATTTCTACCATACCTTTGGCGGTACTCGTTAACCTCCAGCAGGAGTGATTCTACATCCTCAATGGTGTAGGGAATATGCTGAAATAAAGAAGAAACACGCAGAATACTGCTCTCCAATGACTGTACGCGATTCTTTAAGACACGAATTTCATCATCTCTTGCAGCAACCTGATCATCCCTCTCCATCCATTTTCTTGTCGAAGAGCTCAGGTGCCCTAAACGGATATCAATATCCTCCAGCACGTTCAACAAAAACGTTATTGGTGACTCATGCTTCATTGTCTGTATAATGTCCATCATTGCATCGTATGCACTGCTGGCTGCAATACCCTCTTCATGTCGTATTGAAATCATACTCTTAACAAACTCCAATTGCCTCTTCAGCCCAATAATCTCTGTATCCCGAATGGAAAGCGTTGAAGCCAGATGCCTATTCTCTTCCAATTTCTCCATCCCCTGCCGCAATAGATGCAGCTCCTCCTTCGTTTCTGCCAGCAACAAAGATGCCCTTCTTTCATTTTCTTCGGCTTCAAGCTGGTGCCTTTTCAATAACTCGGTACATTCGTCTTTTTCCCAAATTGCCTTTTTGAGCTCCTCCTGGAGGTAGCTGAGTGCCTCAAACATTTTTTCGGTCTCTCGTTCCAAGAGAGACTTTTCTTTCGTGAGGGTGGCAAACTTGCCCCGCTCCACGTGAAGAGTCCTCTCCATTTCCCCCAGCGCATCGGTGATGTTCGCAATTCCCCGTTGTGCCGTCACTGCCTCCTCGCTCGCCTCCAATGCACAATGCAACTCTTTTTCAAGTTCAATAACGCGAGTACGATAAGGATCACTGTTGCTCTGAGAATCGTGCGTCGGAAAATCGTTATTGTGACTGTCAGTTGTGTCCAACTTGTGCAGCTGTGCCTCCAAATGAAGCACGCGGCTACGAAGCTGCGACTCCCTCGCCTGGGAAGTGGCATTTAAAGCCAACAAGTCTAACAACTGCGAATCAACCCTCGAGTCGGGCCCAACTTCTTTTAGGCGATCAACAGCCAGGCGAAGATCAGACAACAGCAGTCGGTTTCGCTCCTTCTCAACCATGTACTTCTCCCGCCAATATTCCACCTGTTTTCTCAGAGTGTTTCCCCCCACCATATCGCGTGGTCTGTCATCCTCCGACCGAAGGGCAGTCATTTGTTCACCAAAGCATTTGTCAAGCGCAGAAATCGTTGCAGCCATGCTCGCTCGATCCCTATTCGGGCTCGATACAATATCCACCACCGTTTTACGATATGTATCCATCATTTCTAGCAGACAGGCGTACTTTTTGCAAATTTGTGCGTTCTCGCTCCTAATCACAGTGCACGCTGCCATTTCAGAGGCAGCTGCCTGCATTCTGTCATCGTCAAATTCCTGATCTGCCCATGAGAGAAGAATGTTTCCGCCAAGCACCCAAATGGTGGCAACACGGGCGACGCCGGTCAAAAAAAGAACAGGGGAACTGGTACCACGCCCTATTCCCATCGCAGAGTCAACCTTGAAAAGCCTCACGGGCACACAATTGCAGGAATCCCAGATAGTTACTAAAAATTCCGCATCAAAAGACGCCACACGCGTTAAAGAAATTGACACAAGCTGTTGCACCTTTGCACACGGAATCAATCGCTCCTTTTTGAGAGATAACATCTGGGTAAATTTCTCCTCTACATGAAATACAGTAATCCATTGATTTCCTCCCACCCAGCAGGTGTCGGCATATGCCGCGTTGTGCTGTGAGCACACCAACACAGCCGAATTCGCAGACTCTAAAAAATGCACGCACATGGGATGAGAGATCTCCTCTCCCCAAAGTGCGATTCGATCCTCCTGAACAGTTAACAATGAAGTTCCAAAGCGGGTGGGAAAAACCGCAAGAACATCGGCACCCTCACACGGAAACACGCGCTGCACCGCCATCCGTTCCAAATCCCATGTTTGGAATGCCCCTTTTTGACTTGTCGCAAAAAAAGAAGGGTCATTCTCAAAGGTATGTAAACTATCTATCCGCCCCACGTCCGCATTAAGTACTCCGATCAACACACCACTTAATTCGTAGAGGATAATGTTACCAGTTCTTGTGAGAAGCCATAATTTATTCGCGGCGAGTCGGATCGTTTCACACCCCTCGGGTAAACTCACCGAGTCCAGCAATTCGCCATCACGGGAATCAAGCGCGTCAAAGTACGTTCCGCAGGATCGAAGTGCCCAAACAGTGCCCCTAAAGCAAGTCACGCTACAGTACGACTCCCCTTTACTCAGAAAACCCTCCGTTCCATCGGCAAGAAGGACCTTTGACGGTGGCATGACAAAAAATCAACCTTCCCAAGACACACACACACACACACAAAAAAAAAAAAAAAAAGGTACCCCGTTCTACGTCTTTTTATTGCCTTAAAAAAAAAAAATGCCAAAAATATTTTTTAAAAAAGGCAATTCGTTGGTGGCGATAAATCACTTTAGTGGTTGGGGAAAACACATCCAACAAGCACAAAAAATAATAATAATAGTAATAATAATAAATACATTATACTTCACTCAACAAAACCCTTGCCTCACGAAGCATAGCGTGTGGAAGGCATGCCATCCGCCCATGACTTGACGTGTTTTGGCCAGTGTTCGTCGTCTGTGTGATTCAAGCCGTTGGAGTAAAGTCGTGGTTCTTTTCGCACCTCCTTTGATAGTGCAATCTCTCCAAGTGACTCATACGGACGCATCCGGCGTTTGGCACGGTTTTCCATTTTACGATACTTGCGTCCATATTCATCCTGGTCACCATGCACAATAGCGTTCACACGATTGGCGTAGACCTTACGCGAAAGTCGTTTAAAGGGTTTTTCCGGTGTATCCAGCGCACGGAGCATATGCATAATGCTGCCGTTGTTGTTTCCCTTCTTGAGTACCTTCTTTTCTTCCGCACTCAGCAGGAATGTGCGCTCCGCTTCCTCTTGACTGCGCCGCACACGAGCGCGCGCCAACTCCTCTGGGTCCAATGGCCAATGACCCTTTGTGTCCAAACCATTTTCCACGTGTTGGGCAATGAAAGCAATGCGCTGACTGTAGTCCACCACAGTGGAGGGCCACAACTCAAATGCATCCGGCTTTCTTAGTGCAAGTCGCCGAAGCATCGATGCCCGTTTTTGCCGCTTTCTTTGCAACCAATGAAATCGACGCTTGCCCTGTCGAGCATCCCTTAACTCTGCCAGTGTTAGCATCTCCTCCTTTGCCGCCTTGTATTCCCTCGCCTTCTTTTGTCTCTCCCACTCTTGGCGTCGCCTATCCAACGGCATGCGGCCAAGTGTCACACGAAGAGTCTCATCTTCCTCAGTGAGCCCCAATGAACCGTACTTCACGCGATCACGTATGCTGTACGGCAGTGCATTCACCCACCCCGGAAAATATGTGTCATCGTCCAGCATATACGCGTCTAGACGCATAGAAGGATATACACCGTATTCCTCCACAAGACGCGTCTGGTGTCGTTCAATGGCCTCCGACTCGTCATCTGCATGTCGCAGTCGTGTGAACAAACGATGAAACTCCTTTGCTGTTGGGGGTTGACCAAATTTATCCATCATGTGGTCACGACGGTCCACTTCCCGCTCCATTAAACGTCGCAGTGCCGTCGTGTATTTGCTGCCGGGATCAGAGGATAACAGTCCATCCTCATCAATCACACGTGCAGCAGCAATTTCCTCCCTGTGCAACGGATGCATGGAACCATCCGACAATTCTCTTTCCATCTGCGAGTCAACACCCAATGCGTTCATTCCTTCTTTCTGCTTCTCCTCTTTGAGAAGTCGTTCCGTCTTGCGGGAGACTTTGTCCATGGCTACGATGCTTTTCTTGTTGCGATACACCGTCGGATCCGTGAATTGGTCGCCCCGTTCCCTGTCACTCAGCAGACCCTTGTTCAGATTGATGCCCCCAGCGGCCGAGCGACGTCCAAAGGGGAGGCGCTGAAAAGAAGAGCAGCACAATGAGCACCTTTTCATTTCTGCCTCCGAAGGCCTGCAACACGCATACGGCCAAGACGCAGAAGTGGCAAACACACACAAAAAAAAAAAAGAATGAAGAAAAAAAAAGCATTGGAGGACATTCGCAACTCAGTAATTTCTCTTCTTGTGTGTTCCACGGACAAACAGTTACAAACCCATACACACGCACATAATTCCATACAACATGTAAAACGAAGTAAGATCTAAACAAAGCGTTATAGCAATTCCCCCATTGCGTACCCATCACAGCTTTCCAATGAGAACAAAAAATATATATATAAACGTATTAATACATGTGTATGTAACCCATCTCTCCATCTTCTTTTTATTCTCCTTTGGGTTTATGTGACAAAGTGCGGTTGCAAGTTTGACCTCGATCGTGGTTGCTAACTATCCAATGCCTTGACTCTCTTGTAGGCCCAGCTGCGGTAGCAGTTGTACCCGTTTACGGAAGCCAGACACATGTTAACGAGAGCCAATGAACGACTCCCAGAGTTCTGCGGCTGAATAAGAAGCGCATACACAAACCATACAAGACCCGTGATGCTGAGAGCGGCACTGGAATTAAAATCCACCTTCTCCACCGGTACGCTTCCAGAAAAAATGCCGTAAAGTGGAACAATACTGAGCGACCACTTGAAAAGAGGCGCTGCGTTGTAAACGGAGTTCAAGTAAGCCACCACATAATACTTCTCGTACGGCTTCAAACACTCAAACACCCTCGGTCTACCAACATATCGGTGTAATATTTTAGGAAAAGCCTTCGGAATGACCTGCTGTGTAGCGTTAGCAGCAGACATGTTTCTTTTCCCCAAATTTTTCCCTTCCCCACTGTTTTTTTTTTTTTTCTTCGTCAAGCTAACTAGTAAGTCCAAAAAGAAAAAAGAAAAAACATTGTGTAAAAAAAAGGCGGAAAGACGAGTCTGCGCGGATTTGTAAAGGAAAAGAAAACAAAAAAGTTTAAGCAACGGTGACAAAATAAAACCCCCCCCCCCCCAAAAAAAAAAAAAAAAACATGGGAACAGCAATAAATATGGCGCATGAAGAAGTCCAGCAAAAGTAATGCGACACGAAAGGGGAGAACACACACGTATGTTGCGATATCCACCAGTGGTAGATTCCATGTTCATTAATTCATGGCAAGCCTGTATCTCCCAACCGCTGAAGGAGAAGTCTTCGCTCAAAATCCGAGATACACCGCTGTGCCTCCCTGCTCAGCTCCAGCAGCTGACTCCAGTCAATAGGACTCTCCTTCTTACTCACCCCACGTGCCTGCGACTCGCGCTCAAGTGTAACAAGACTTGGAATTAACTTTAGTCGGCGATAAAGCAAAGAATGCTGCGGAGACCCCTGCGGTAATATGAGTTGCATAGAGAACAGGGTCTGTACAAGCGGCAAACACCTCGAAGGTTCCATTAATGACATCCGCATGTAGGCAAATATGGGCGACTCTATTAGACGTACAAGTCGTTCCAGCTGCAGAAGTGTCGCCGCAGACATCTCCAGACTGCCCATAAATTGAATCAGCTGGAAAGCGTGTTCATAGGCACGCGAAAGCAAACAAAGTGAAAGGGCTGCTACAGTGTTGTACCGCCAACATTGATACATACCAACAAATGTTGTGCGAGCCCGTTCATCATCCACGCCGCGATTCAATATTTCACGAAGAGGGAGAAACTCCCTTGATGTCAGCACCAACGTACTCAGCGTGATGACAACTTTCTCCAAAAAACGCTTGTCCTCATGGACAGAAAGCACCGAAGAAATTTTTAGACACAACTTCTCACACTGGCTCAAGTCCTCACCCTGGTACCGCAACTGGAGCTGCTTGATAATTGTGGGTGCCTTTGGTAACAGAACGTCAGCCTTTGCGTGAAACAGATCCACAAGTCGCGAAACAAAGTAGTCAAAATTTGTTTCCCCCGAGATAAGACACAGCGTCTCGATACACTTGTGAACGACGTGAGCAGACTGGTCGCACAGCAAAATAAGAACGGTTTCAAACGTTTCGCTAAAGCCGCGTTCCACAACGGCTGCGTCTGTGTGCAAAATGAGCGCTATCCATTCTAAAGCAGCCACACGAGATTCTTCATTGCCTCGACCAGTAAGTTGAGAAGCCACACTTTTCAGCACGGCGTCGTGAGGGACATTTTTCACGCCATCCTGTTTCAACGCAACGAGCTGCATAAGTCTGTGGTTGACATTTTGGGCCGCCAAACGAGTCTCGAGATCTTTGGATCCCAACTGCAACAAAAAAGCCATAATGACCCTGCCTATAAGATGAACCAACTCATCCGTGGCAATATTCAACAGTTCGAGCATCCACTCCAATGCGTTTTTCCTTGTCACAGCTACCTCGGCTCCCTCTACGCATTCAGCGGCTATCAAGAGCAGACTGTCCAGTTGGACGCTCATGTGCCGATAAAAGGCATCCTTGGTGTCGCGAAGGCACTTTTGGAGAAGTCGTGCCACCTCCCCTCCACCGCACCTGCCGGAAATCATCAAAAGAGGCTTTAGAAATCTCCACAAGAGGAGGATAAGCTCATCACCGGGAAGGTCAAGCACATGACCAATCCATTCCACGCACCAATTCACAACCAATAAATCAAATGTCTTTTCATTGTTTGTTGTGTTGCTGTATGGTTCCAGTAACTCTGTGATGAAATTGACAAATTGTTCGGTCTGGAACTTGAAGGACTCGTTGCCAGTGATGAGCTCCCGAAGTGACAGGGAAACCTCCCCCGCCAACAGTGCCACGCGTCCATCATGGTCGTTGATGCAGGAAGCGAGGCCCCAAAACACCTGCATGAAGCACACGTCCAACAACTGGATCCGAAGTTGACGAACGAGCGCGTGTGCTGCCTCCAATGCCGCCAGTCGCACCGTCGCATCAACATCCGTAAAGCTTTCAAAAATAATGGAGGAAAGCAAAGACACCACCTCGGAAGGATGAGTTCGCGACGGCAAAGATCCCACAATGGCCCGCACAGCGCCAAGGCCTCCTCTTCGATGCATTGGAGAATTGACGGAGAGAAGGCTCGCCTCCGCCTCACGTAGCTCCCGCGTGACAATGTCATATGCCTCCACCAAAGGATATTTTACAAAAATGACGGCAGTCTTTGACGCCACATCCCTCGCCCCCTTCTGTCGTGACTCCACCTTTGAATCCACCAGAAGTTTCAGTGTCTGTGGTGAAATGAGAGTGTCCGACATTTAATCCCCGAGGAATGACAAAAATTAACTCCCTTATCACACCACTCTGAAAAGTAGACCAGGAAAAAAAAAGCAGAAAAAAGAAAAGAAAAAAGGCCCCGCATCCTCTCCTCACCAAGTTTTCCCAATAAAACAATTCCATGCATTCCACAAAAATATGTGTGGACATAATGTTGACGGATATGAGACAATACGACTCAAAAACAGGATATATATATATATATATATATATAGGTATGGGTAGGTAAACATATATCCAAAAAAAAGAAAGAGTCAAAGGCGGGGTAAAAAGTAAATTTCTTCAAAATATATTTCCTCACAGTATCAATAAACAATAATAATAATAATAATAAAAGGAATTCAGATAAAGAAATGTCATATCGCTACATATTTTTTGCAGAAGGCCTTGAATGTGTTGAGGAGCCAAAGGTTCGATGCAGTCGACCTCTATGTATGCTACTTATAACGGTCTCCACAAATGCGTCAACCGCCACTGAATCCAGCGACGGGGTGGGAACTCCACCACTGCAGCAGGATGCGTCCTCGATAAGATTCCAGAGATTCTTCTCTGTTGGCTCGATCACATCATCCGACGCACGAGAGCTGTACTCACTCAGAATGTGTCCCATCACCTTCAGCATCACCTCCAGCGTGACGGACAATTTCCTCCGCTTCTGGGCCTCATCCAACCCGTCACGCTCGTCACGCGGTTGCGTGAGCAAGTCCTCTGCTGGCTGTAGCGCCGAACAACCGTTTTGCCCGTGTGCTCCGCACTGCTTCTTCCCAGCGGAGAGCGACTCCCTCACCCGAAATTGAGCATGCTGCAGCGGGCCCTTCTTCGTTTGGGAGGCATCGACGTTCAGTGGGGTACTGACGCAACGCGTACCGCTATTGCGCGAATTCCTCGAAGGCGCCACGGCAGCAGGCCCCAGAGGCGGCAAAACACTAAGTGGGTGCACAAGCAGATGGACAAAGTTTCCGAGCACCGCGGCCGGTTTGCCATCCACAGGAACAAAACAATTCTCCTCCGCACTAAACGCAAACAAGTGCGAGTCCGGCAAGACACTTCGAAGCGACACTTTCTCCGAACAAGAGGTTGTCGGGTCCACCAACTGTCGCCCAATCTGCCGCAACATGTCTTCGGCTGAAAGGGGATTTCGCACCTTCAGCTGCAACCTCTGTGGAGCTTTGTCTTGAATAGAGACGTGCACCAAAAACTCCCTGGTAAAGGAATCATCGCCAAGCAACATCGCTGAACTAACTCCTCCCACGAAATGCGTACAAGGAAAGGAAAAGCAACGCAAATACAAAAATAAATAAATAAATAAAAATAAACAACAGACCCAGAAAACATTACCCTTCTTCTCACTTTCCTCTCGTCCTTTAGCAAACTCAACAAAGCTCCGTATATCCAATTGAGCGACCCAGGCATATTTCCACCCATAATGTAGCCTCAATATTCGTATAAGATTATCGCCTCAATCAAAAAGACTCCATCACATGTTAGCCAGTAGATATCCAAGACGGGATAACGTCTTCAGCAAAATAGGAGAAATGGATGGCCTTGATAATGGTCCGTCAAGAGAAATAGGCATTAACTCTGTCCTCCCTTCAGTACCCTCTCCAGTTCCCTTGTTTTTAGCAAAAGCAATGTTGGGTAACGGTGCAGTATTTAGCGCACTTGGATCGCACCGATAACGTTTCCATGGCTCATCGCCAGTCATCCGCTGAACAAAAATATCATGCATTGTGTTTAATACAATAAGTTGCTGGTTATACACCACAGAAACCAGGTATTCCAAGGGCCAATTCTGCAAAAAAAATGCCATTGGACTAGTTTCGAAGGTAATCAAGGAAACCTCAAACGCGTCTCGTTTTTGTACAAGGTCAAGACGAGATTCATCCACGGAAATCCCACCAATTACACACAAATTGTTGCCACAAACATGGGACTGGTGCAACGCACGACCTAAAACGCGTGTGGGAGCTTGATAGTATTCCATGCTCTTGCAGTTGAGAAATCCAATGTAGTTATTCATGGCAACGGTAGGCATTTCTTCCCCATCGTCATCCATTTCCAGCGTTGTTTCAAAACCACCATATATGACAATGGCAGAGCTATTTATCATGTGTACACTGTGTCCCCATAGGGCTGGGAACACTGCCTGAGAAAAGACACGCCAAATTCCTGTCGAAGTATCTAAAACGTGTATCGCATAAAATCCACTCGCCAACGTTTCCCGCACCTCATACGATGTGACTTCGCCCAACAAAGGTTTCCCACCAAAAACAATAAGGCTATTTCCCACTGCATTCATGGTGTGGTGCGCGCGGTTTCGTGGTTTCCAGTCGCATGCCATTGTTCCCCAATCTAAATCCTGCAAATCAATAAAAAACACCTCCAACAAGTCGTGCTCAAGCGCAGTTGTCTTTGCAGATGATGTATCGATACTTGGCGACTCTCCACCGGACACATAGAACCGCGATCCACTCAACGCAGTTGCATGAAACCGCGTTGGAGGAGGAAACACGCCTGAGCAAACCTCCTCATGCCAGCAAAAAGACGACAGATTCAGCCACCAGAGTCGGTCTGTAAATAGGCCGCTAAAAAGCAGCAGATTGTCATGGTATACATGAGCATTGAGACTGTTGGCAGTCATCATCATCATCATCATCGTATCGTGCATTTTCCCATTTCCTTCTCCTTCTACGCAAAATAGGACCAAAAAAAAACACAAAGAAAAGTCACATTAAAACAAACATATGAAAAGAAAGGGCAAGTCACCTTTAGTCCACACTCTTCTTCCTCGTGTAGCCACCGGGGTGTGCACCACCACACGAACCCCCCTCATTTTACTCCCCACTTCCGGGCACGCAAGCCGCCTCATACCACATTTCATCGACCCGTAAAATTGCGTTTTCGGAAGATCAGAAGTACAGCCGCTTTCCCACATTTTTTTTTAATCTCTCAAATAAACATCTTCTTTTTCACTCACTTCCTCATTCAAAGTATTTTTTAGGAATGTTTTTCCGTGCGTATGGCGCCTGCCTCTGTCGGCCCGACCGTGTGGGCTCGCTGTTTCCCCGTTTCTTCCCCCTCCGGTCCCAATTCACCCCCAGCAGGCACCAACGAAAAAAAAAAAAAAAAGAAAAAGAAAAAAAAAAAACAAAGAGAAAAGCAGTAAA